GGGCTTTGGGAGCTCAGTCCAGTGCTCCAGTGTGGGTTTCTGTCTCTATCTCCATCCCTCACCAGATGAAGGTTCTATGGTGATATGGAAGATATCCATCATCAATGAGTGTTCCCCTTACTCCACAACCTCATGATAAAGGTCTTGGAGAGAATATGGATACAAGGTTCATACCTAAATATGGATACAAGGATCATACCTAAATATTATAAAAGCTATATACAGCAAGCCGAAAGCTAATATCAAATTAAATGGAGAGAAACTCAAAGCCATTCCACTAAAATCAGGAACAGGACAAGGCTGTCCACTCTCTCCACATCTCTTCAATATAGTGCTTGAAGTTCTAGCAATAGCAATAAGACAACATAAGGAGATCAAGGTGATTCGAATCGGAAAGGAAGAAGTCAAACTTTCATTATTTGCAGATGATATGATAGTGTACATAGCGACCCCAAAAACTCTACCAAAAAACTCCTACAGCTGATAAACTGTGGCAGGAAACAAGATCAACACCGAAAAATCAGTTGCCCTCCTATATACAAAGGATAAAGAAGCAGAGAGGGAAATCAGAGAAACATCACCTTTCACGACAGCCACAAATAGCATAAAGTATCTTGGGGTAACTCTAACCAAAGAAGTGAAAGATCTACGTGATCATTAGTTTTTATTGTCAACTTGACGCAATCTAGAATCACCAGTCTCAATGAGAGAGTGTTTCGATCAGGTTGACCTGTGTCCCTGTCTTGATTGTCATGATTGTCTTGATTGCCTTAATTGATGTGGGAAGACCCACCCACATGAGTGTCACCATTCCCTAAGCAGAGGATCCTGAACTGTGAAAGAGTAGAAAACAAGCTGCCTACTGTGTTCGCTCTTCTGTTCCTGATTGTGGATGTGATGTGACCAATCTCTGAAAGCTCATGTCACTGTAACTTCTCTGCTCTGATGGACTGTAACATGGAACTGTGATCCAATAAGACACCTTCCCCCAGGAAGTTGCTGTTGGAGGGTATTTTATCATAGTGACAGGAAGCCAAACTGGGTTGAGTTGTCCCAAGAAAAATAAAGAAGAAAAACTAATATAGGAAAATGATGATAAAGTAATGCCATCCTACCCACTGTCCCCTGAAACTCCATATCATCCTTTAAAGCTCTTCTGTCTACTTCAGATCCCTTAGAAAGCCTTCATTTGGAGATTTTTATTATTCAGATATAAAAATCCCTTCAAAGAGACCACTTCCTAAATATAGCCACAGTAGCACACTCACTGAGAGAAAAATTAATAAATGGGACCTCCTAAAACTGAAAAGTTTCTGTAAAGCAAAGGACACGGTCAACAAGACAAAACAACAACATACAGAATGGGGAAAGATCTTCATCAACTCCAAATCAAACAGAGGACTGATCTCCAAAATGTACAAAGAACTCTAGAAATTGGTCATCAAAAGGACAAATAACCCAATAAAAGGAGGAGTCCAGACCTAATCAGAGAACTCTCAACAGAGGAATCTAAAATGGCTGAAAGATATTTAAGGAAATGAGAACCCTAAGAGAGACATACATGGATCTAATCTGCATATGAAGTAGTAAAAGACAAGCTCTCCTGAGTAAACTGGGAGCATGGGGACCATGGGAGAAGGTTGAATGGATGGGGAGGGGAAGGGAGGGGAGCAGAGAAAAATGTATAGCTCAATAAAATTGATTAAAAAAATCCCTCCAATAAAGTATATATTTAAGTTTGGTACTCAAAACAGCAGTAGTAATCAGAGGTATTTCTTTAAGAGGTGATCCAACAATAAGAACTTTAATTTGATAAATGTATTAATGGGTTGATTAATTTATTGCTGATGAGAAGTTATGAGATGGAGCCTAGATAGAGAAAGAGAGTCACTGGGCACGTACATAGAAGTCATTTCTTGTCACTCTGTTTCCTCTTGTCTCTTCCTCTTTCTTCCTTTGATCTTTCCATTTCTACTCTTTATCCTCTTCTTCATCCTTTAATTAAACATGTACATACATTGCATTTTAATCAAGTCTACCCATTACTTCCCCTTCAATTCCCCTCTATCCCTCACACCCTTTTCCCCTTCCTGCTTTATTTGTTCTCTTTGCTGTTTAAAACTCACTAGTTCCACTTAGTGCTTGGCTTTATGTGCATGTTTTTAGGGCCATCTATTACATAGAACATGGGTAGCTTCTCAGAGACCATGTCCCTGAATAAAAAAAAAAAAAAAGACTTGTCCTCCCCCAGCAGCCTTCAATTCCCCACATTCTCAGATAGCCTTGGAACTTCATGATACCATCCCCTGTTCAAGACTGGATTTTGGCTGGCTCAATCCTTGCATGCATGCAGTCACAGTTGCTTGAGTTCATATGTGCAACAGTTCTGTCATGTTGAGCAAATGATGTTTTGCTGCAGACATTCACTACCTGTGACTGTCACAATCTTTCTGCCCCTTCCTTGATGATGATCCCTGAGCTTTATGTAGGTGTATGAAATTGATGTTCCATTTAGATCGGAGAACAACAGACTTACTCTCTGCATATTTACTGTTGTGTTTCTCTGTATTTGGTGTGGGAGAATTGTCTGTATTTTGTCAATCATGCATTTTAATAAAACGCTGATTGGCCATGCAGGAAGTATAGGTGGATCAACCAGACAGGAAGTAGAGGTGGGGCGATGAGAACAGGAATATTCTGGGAAGCAGGACGCTCCCCCTGACAGTCCTGCGCAGACCACTGAAGAGGCAGCATGTAACTGTCCCAGCTGAGAAAGGTACGGAGTCCTTATGGCTAACATAGATGAGAATAATGGGTTAATATAAGTTATAAGAGTTAACAAGAAGCCTGACCTAATGGGCCAATCAGTTTATAACCTTATGGAGTCCAGTGTGTGATTTTCTTTGGGATTGCCGGTTGTGGGGTACTGGGCAGGACAGAAACCCCAACAAGCCAGCCTTCATGTTACATATGGCGCCCACGTGGATAACTGCATCCACAAAAAGCCTGAGAAAGCTTGGGAAAGAATAGAGTAAAGCATGTTTTCTTGGTGGCATCAATCTCTCAGGTCTGTACTGCTTGCTAGAACAGAGCGCAAGCAAGTGCTCTCATCTAAGAGAGGCTTCCTGACTCAGCTTTAGCTGCAAAACCTTGCAGCTCATTAAGAGGTCCTGCCACGAAACACTTAAACAGTGTTGATGAAAAGCTGAACGCATGCTTTTCGGTTTTAAGCTGTAGCAGGAAAAAAGCTGTGCTGTTTTAAAATGTCGGCTTTCTGGGCTGTCCTGCCAAGGCAATCTCTGACTCTTTCAGGCAGGCAGTCCGACTGAGTGTGGTCTGTGAGCAGAATGCTGCAGCTTGCTTGCTAGCAAGGACCTTGAAACGCCATAGAGTTGTGGCAGTGAACACAGCTCTGGCTGGTATCTCAGCCACAGGGGCTGGAAAGCTAAGGAATGGGCTAATTCCAGCCGTAGAAGCCACAATTTTAGTCCTCTCCTTAAAGACTCATGTAGTCAAAAAAGAGAGAGAGATACAGTAAAGAGAGGTTCAAAAATGAAGAAAACCTCTAAAGAGTTTACAGTGTGTTAGAAATACATGCAGGTTAAAGGTTAAAGTTCTTAGGGTAAAAAGGGAAGAAAGAGAGTAGTTGGGTGTGGTAGAACACACCTTTAATCCCAATGCCTGGGAGGCAGAGACAGACAGATTTCTGAGTTCAAGGTGTGGTAGCACACACCTTTAATCCTAGCCCTGGGGAAGCAGAGACAGGTGGATCCCTGTGAGTTCAAGGACAGCCTGGTCTACAGAGTTATTCCAGGACAAAGATATACAGAGAGCCTGTCTCAAAAAGTCAAAGTAAAAATAAAAGAAATAGAGGTTAAAATAAAGATGGAAAATACACGGAGAATCTTGATACTGTATGTTATGATGCTCTCTTTGAATTGTTTGAATGCTGAAGAAGGAGAAATAGCTGCTAAAAGACTTTTGTTTATAAATGGTGCTGAACTAACCCAAGATAGGTACTTTGAAAATACCTTGGCTTCAAAATTGAAGTCAAAAGGTATGTTACTTTGGAGAAGAGATTTTGCTTTTGTTTCCACAGAAAATGTGAGGCTCTGGATTTATTCAGAGTTAAGAAAAATCATCTTTGGCCAAGGGAGACCACCTGAAAAATCTCCAACAGGAACAGATGGCCCAGATGTCTGAGTTCTACATCCAGAACAGATTCAAGACTGCTGCCTGAGATGATCAAGACTCACAGGATACTCCAGTCAGGACTTGATAATAATTCTAAATTTTCTTTAGGTCCCCATAAGATTATCAGCGCCCCCAACCAGCAGGAAGTAGCCTGAAATACTACACCCATATTCCCAACAAATGGATTATGGGTATTTTCCTTTGTTTAAAAAAAAAGAGGGAAATGGTGTGGGAGAATTATCTGTATTCTGTCAATCATATTTTAATAAAACGCTGATTGGCCAGGCAGGCAGTATAGGCGGGAAAGCCAGACAGGAAGTAAGGGTGGAGCAAAGAGACTGGGAGTATTCTGGGACACAGGAAGCTCTCTCTCCATTCCTGTGCAGACCACTGAAGAGGCAGCATGTAACCTGCCCTGCTGAGAAAGGTACGGAGCCATGTGCTAACATAGATAAGGATAATGGGGTAACATAAGTTATAAGAGCTAATAAGTAGCCTGACCTAATGGGCCAATCAGTTTATAATCTTATGGAGTCCTGTGTGTGATTTTCTTTGGGGTTTGCCAGCTGTGGGGTACCGGACGGGACAGATACCCCAACAAGCCAGCCCCTCATACTACATGTATTAACTAACACCCATGAAAGAAGCTTTTCTGATAAGTATTGAAAGATGCACTAATTTGTAAAGGTAAGGGTTTAGGTTGCAGACTGATACTATATTTATTAAGCAGAAAGATAGTATTAGATTTTCTTATAGGTCTTTGACCTACCTAGTCACATGTTCTTGGTCCCAATAATGGTGGCATTATGGTTCAGATAATGGTGCTCTCTTGTGGAGTAGGCCTGAAATCTAATCAGAAAGAGGCTTGTTATACCTATGACATTCATGCTTCTATTATGACAGTAGGTATGTCTTTTGATGCCAGCCATAACTGAAACTCTCGGAATTCACAGCTGGGTAAGATTGAAGGCTACTTTTCTCCCCTGGTAGCATCACAGCACCTTCCAATGCTGTCAAACCTATTCTCTAGAGGTGAAGCTTCCAGGTGGGTATCAGCTTGCTTTCTACAAGTTCTATGTCTCACAAATGTGGTCTCTTCAACAATAGGGTCTTATCATCCAGTTCTGGGGGTGTGTAACTGTAAGCATTACAGCACTGATGGAAAGGTATTCTGGCAGCTTAGAACCAAGAAATAACACAAAGTCACACTAAACAACCAACCTCACACAAGAGATTTATTGGGAGGGAAAACCAGGAAGGTGGCTGCCTCCACTCAGATGAGAAACAGCAGCAAACTGAACAGGATACAGGGTTTATATAGAGTTTCTTGGAAAGGGGGTGGAACTTTTCAGGGTGGAGCTTTCCAGGGTGGAGATTGGTGGGATTTCATGTCCAGAAATGGGGTTTTTCTCTTTAGGGTAGGGCCCAGTAGTTAGGGCAGTTAAGGTATTCTTTAAAGAATAGTCCTAAATGGATAAAAACTTGAAGTACTTTCTAAAGAATACTCTAACTGCCTTGAGAGTGGGTGGAATCTGGCAATTAGGGGGTCTCAGGGGAGGAGCCTGGTTACTATCTTGAACAGGAGTAGAGAGGGTGGTATTATTGTCCTGTTTCTGATTTTGGTGGAAATGCTTCAAACTTTTATCCATTTAGGATTGTATTGGCTGTGGGTTTGTTGTATACTGAGTCTATTATGTTGAGGTATATTGCGTCTATCCCCAGTCTCTCTGGAGTGTTTTTTTTTTTAATCATGGAAGGATGCTGACTTTTGTCAAATGCTTTCTCTATATCTAATAAGGTGATTGTGTGGTACCTATCCATGAGTATATTAATGTGGTGGATTATTTTAATGGTTTTTCCATTCCTCTGTCTTTTATTAGTCTTGATTTTTAAAATTTTTGTTACATTTCATTATTATTTAACAATTTATTGTGTTCTTTCTCCTCCCCGAAGACTTCCCAGCTCTTCCTCATCTACCATCCAATTTCTTGTTCTTTCTGCTTATTTTATTCAATTAATAACTTCTTTATTCTGAATGAATAAATCAAGTTCATATTCATATAAACACTGAGATTACATAGTACAGGGACAAGGGGGAGGGGAGGGAACAAACCCTATACAAACCTGTGAACATTGTGTCACTAAACACAGAAACATGCCCTGCATTCAATTATTCATATAATAAACTTCAAATAAAATATTTTCTAGATGATATACTTCTGTTTTTGAAGGTGGGGAAAAGACCAGAGCTTGGAATAGGAGACTTTACTTTTTTTGGAGATCTTTTCAGTCATTATAGATATTCCTTCACTCGCTACAAATTATAAGTTCTTCTGTAAAGAATTCTTTAAAATCCTAGGGATATGAAGGACTCAACTCAAATATCTCCAAATATATTCATCCACCCCCCAGGACTTCTGTATCAATTATCCCAAGGTTCAAAGACTATCATATGAGGAAGAGGAGGAGGAGCGAATGTAAGAGCCAGAGTCTAAGGAGGGGCTGTGAAATACTGTCTTATGGACACAACATGGCCATGGTGCTCATCACAGCATCTATAGTTACTTACCCAAGTCTTCAACAAGCTCAGACCAGCAGGATCAGTCATTTCAGGAGTGGGCAGCATTAAGTGGACTCTATATGTTACAAAAAAGGAAGAAAGAAAAAAAAGCACATGAAAGTTGGAGGGAGGCGCATTGTGGGTTTATCCTACAAAAGTAAAAGGGGAAATTGGAAAGGATATGATAAAGATACATTATATACATATATGGAACGGTTAAAGAATGAATAAAAGCTTTCCTTTTTTAAAGGGAGAAAGCAAATTCTTGATTTCCCACGAAGGACCTGTATAGCTGAGAGCCTGAACCCCAACTTGTCATGCTTTGGTTTTCCTTACCTGCTAAGTAGACAGTGGATTAACTATCAATGGGGGAGGGAGTTCAGTGAACAAGTTGAGGAAATCATCTATTAACATGACTGAAGGCAATAGCCACTAAATAGCCATCAGCATCAGTGGTTCCGCAAGCAGAAACCACCATGAAAGCAAAACAGTGAAACAAAGCTTGGGTTGGACTAGATGGCATTGATGAAAAACTCGGAGAATTGTTTGACTCCCTCCAACAAAGATTCTTATTTCAGAAGTCATTGAAAATATTAAAGGAAACTCTCATCTTGGTCACACCCTAAGTGGAGTAGTTCTTTCTGTTAGAACTGTCAAATTTTTGCAAACCAGTTTTCTAGAGTATTCTATAAGTACCATGCCACATGAGAATCTCAACCTCCACTCTATCTCTTTCCGTGTAGAAACCACTTCCTTTTTTGTCTTCCTGAGACTGAGCAACAGGGTGTGACAATTGAGAGCAGGGTACAGTAGTGACCAGGAGGAACTCCAAGGCAGTCAGCGGGGAGAGAGCAGGTCCCACTGAACTAATGGGAGCTCCCCTGGGGCAGTTCAGGCTCACCTTGCCTCTTACTGACACTTTTATCAATCAGAGCTGGGACTGAAGACCAGCGGCACCCGATCTTCCTCTAAAGGCTCTGAGCTCCAGCCAGCTTCTGGACTTTATAGCTTTCCAGGTACAGCAGGGATAAGAGACTGAGGGGTGGGCAGTTTCTCTCACATGCCTGTTTTCTGTTGGAATTTTTATGGAGGTTGTTCCTCTAAATCCCTGGGTCTAGGTCTAAGGAGGTAGCATTTAGGACTCTGGGCTTCCAGGTCCTGGATGGTGAAGGCTTACACCACTGGACTGAGATTGACTCCGGGGTAAAAAATGATGGGTGGAAGCGGTTGACTTTTGAATTTTTGTAGGGAGTCACCAGGATGTCGCCTTGGTGAGATAGTGCCTACAGCCTGGAGGTATACAAATCCTTTGATGCTGCCATCCAGGCCAGTGTGCTTGGAGCCTTGTTTTGCATTTCAGAGATGTGGTTCCCTGACCTGTCCTGTGGCCTTGGGCCCTAGCAGAATGGCATCAACCAATCAGCATTCGAGCCTTTCACCCTAGAAAAGCAGCTGCCTCTGGGCTCTGCTTCCTCTCTGGCTAATCTTTCTCTCGTCCCTGCACTCTCTCTTCCCTTCCCCCAATTTTCCTCAACCGAGTGCTCCGAATAAAGCGTGATAGGGAAGGAATCTCGTTTTCGTGGCCGTTCATTCCTGCTGGTCAGGAAGCGCGCCACAAATTTTATTCACTTAAAAGTGTGTGTGTGTGTGTGTGTGTGTGTGTGTGTGTGTGTGTGTGTGTGTGAGCGCGCGAGTGCGCGTCCTTGCGTACATACTCATGAATGTTGAGGTGTGTTTGTGCAAATGCAGGTACAAACAAGATGTAGTGCAGTTGTGGAAGTCATAGGATAACATTGTTTGTCAGTGCTCACCTTCACCTTCAGGTAGGCTCTCACTCACTGCTGCATATGACATTCTAGCTGGCCCCACAAGCTTTCAAGGATTCTCATGTTTTTAGTGTCTCCCTCACTCAAGGAGCACTTGCATTACAGATACACATCACTCTTTTGGGATTGACATGGGTTCTAGAGATTTAAACATAAGCCTCAATGCTTTCTCAGCAAATGCTTTACCTACTGAAGCTTCTCCCTAACCCAGTATCTTGCGCACCCTTTAGGAGAAGCTGGGTGACCAGGTCATCCCTCAGATGCAGAGGCAGTGACTCGGATGAACTAGAATGTCTAATTCTCTCCTAAAAGTTATGTGTTCTGCAGCTGCTCTCCTTTTCTCTGTTGGCTGTGTTTATGTTGGACTTCCTTCTTTAAGGTCAGAGTTGACCCACTACAGGGCTGACTTCTAATCTGGAGCAACCAGTTCAGAAGGAAGGTGGACCTGAAACTGGAATTTAGTCTTAAAGTAGATGTTAGGGGTTAATCATGGTCTCATGGTCTCTAACACCACTGATGTAGACGACCAGAGGAAGAAGCAGCAATACAGAGCAATGCAACAGCACCAATACAACTTGATGCAACCCATGTTAAAGCTTTTTTTAACTAGGGTTTCTCCTGTTTAAATGGTATTAAACAAGATGTTGTCTCAGAAGTCAAGTTCCTGGGATCTCAGTACAGATATGGTACTCACTACGTGTTTCATAGTGATGATTTCTTTAATATTAATGTACAAGATATTGGACTTCATTAAGGCATTTTTTAACAAACTGTGTTCTTGCCTAATTTCTGTGTCCGTGATAACTACTCAGACTGAAAGCACCTGAGACAGGAAAGGTTTAATCCAGGTTACAGTCCACTGCCGCATAGAGGTCATAGAGGGAAGAGCTTGAAATGGCTGGTCAAGGGCAGAGAGAAATGAACCCTCCCATGCTGCTGTCCTGCTAATGCTCAGATAGCCTTCTACACTCTTAACACACCCTAAGCCCAGTCCATGGAATGGTTCATCAGGTTTTTGTCTTTCTGAGTCTGGATTACCTCATTAAATAATACATTTTCCAGATTCATTCATTTATTACAAACTTCACCTTTCTTTACAACTGAATAAAATTCTACTGCATATGTATCATGTTTTCATTACCAGTTCACCACAGATGAACATTAACTTCTTTGTTTCTTCTCACAGCTGTGGATATGTCCTGTTCCACGGGTGAGCAGCTGAACTATAATGAAGTAACAGAGGTGAAAGCTGATATCGGTGAGTGACCAAAAACCAACTTCCCAAGAGCCTGCAGATGTCTCTGTTCTGTTAGACACTGTGTCCCTGGCCGCCAACACCTCTGTGGTGTAGTGGCTTGCGTCTCTGGCCTCCAGTGTGCTTTATCTGTTTCAACTGTGAAGTAGAGACAAGAGGCAATACATGTTGTTCACAAGTATCCATACAGTCTTCTGGATTTCTTCAGAGTTATAAAGTCCTTACTTTCCTCATTTTGGAATAGATGTGGCTAAGATTCTTGTATTCTTCTGGAAGTGGGAAGCAACTGCTGGAAGTGGAGCTTTGTATATGTTCCCTGTCAAGGGAATGTCTTAACTCTGGAGTTCTTTTTATTTTTTTATAAGTTGCTTTAGAAAATGTGCGATATAGTGTGAGCTTCTTTGTGACATTGTCCACAAGTATAGTATTGGATTTTCTAATTCTCACCCTCTTGTCTCTGTTTCCCTACATATTTCAGAGCGTATACCCCCACAATAGCTTCATTTATGTTTTATGTTATATACATGTATGTATTCCAAGTAGAAGAATGTATCATGATAGCTTCCTTTCTTGCAGTTTGTTGTTGTTGTTGTTGTTGCTGCTGCTGCTGTTCCCATCATCCTTCTTATCATCCTCTTCTTCTAGGATTTCTCGGTGTATCTCTGATTGTCCTGAAACTTGCTCTGGAGACCAGAATAGCCTTGAACTCAGAGATCCCACTGCCTTTACGTCCTAGATGTTGGGATACTAGGCATATGCCACAATCACCTGGCTCTCTTCCTTCATTTTATATATAATTTCCACTCATACTATCATTTGTATTTTAAGATATATAGATAATATATAGACAGATGATAGATTAGATAGATAGATAGATAGATAGCACACAGATGGATAGAAATAAGTGTTGTATGTATGAGAGAAAACCTGTAATATTTGTTTCTCACTTATTTGCTTAGTATGATAACTTCCAATTCCACCCATTTCTCTGAAAATGACATATATTTATTCCTCTGCATGACTGAATAAAGCCTTAGTGTGCATATATGCCAATTTTTGTCCATTTTTAAAATAATAATCAAAATTTGTATTTAAATATCTCAAAATATCTTACTAGAAATTCCCAAGCATCTAGTTCATGGCTTTCTAAGTCATATTTTGATTTCTTTTGTAACTTTTTTTAAAATTTGTATTTCTTTTTTTTTGCTTTTTTATTGATTTTATTAAGCTATATATTTTTCTCTGCTCCACTCCCATGGTCCCCATGCTTCCAATTACTCAAGAGATCTCGTCTTTTTCTACTTCCCTTGTAGATTAGATCCACATAGGTCTCTCTTAGGGTCCTTAAAAAAAGTGGCTGCTTGTACATGAGAGCTTCTGACACAGCAGCAACTCCATAGCCCCCAGAGTAACATACAGTGGCAACATGGGTCCATGATAGGGTATGTGTGAGAACACAGATTACAAAGCACATACAGAATGTGAATTAGAAATACACAAAATTCCAAGATACACTACATGTAAGACTGTTCCCATACAAAGGGTTCACAAGTGGAACTGTACAATGTTACAATGTGCAGTGTTAAGAGAAACACTGTAAACAAAGCATTCAAATATGAAAAGATGACATGTAAACAACATATAATTACTGAGGACTTTTAGGTAAGGTTTTCAGAAAACCCCAACAAACAAGCCTGGTCCTTTCATGTTACACAATGGCACCCAAGTGGATAACTGCATCCACAGAAAGCCTGAGAAAGCTTGGAAAGACTTGAATAAAGCATTTCGGTTTTCAGCCGTAGCAGGAAAAAAGCTGTGCTGTTTTAAAATGCGGGCTTTCTGGGCTGTCCTGCCAGGGAAAACTGACTCTTTCAAGCAGGCAGTCTGGACTATGGATGGACACACTGTTGCAGCTTGCTTCCTGGCAAGGACCTTAAAACACCATAGAGTTGTGGCCAAAAACTTCTCCATATTCCTTAGCAAATTAAAGACTCACATGGTCAAAAAAAGAGAGCGATATACAGTAAAGAGAGATTCAAAGAAAAAAAAACTCTAAATGGTTTAAAGTTCTTATAAATAAAAAAAGGTTTAAAGTCTTAAAATAAAAAGAAAGAAAGAGAATAGTTGGGTATGGTGGTACACACCTTTAATCCCAGCACTGGGGAGACAGAGACAGACGGATCTCTGTGAGTTCAAGGATAGCCTGGTTTATAGAGGGAATTCCAGGACAAAAATATTCAGAGAACCCGTCTCAAAAAGCCAAAAGTTAAAAGTAAAAATAAAAGAAATAGAGGTTAAAATAAAGCCACGTAAAGATGGAAAATACACAGAGAATCTTGATACTGTATGCTATTATGCTCTCTTTAAATTGTTTGAATGCTGAGAAAGGAGCAACAGCTGCTAAAAGATATTCACTTATAAATGTTGCAGAATTAATCCAAGATAGGTATTTTGAAAATACCTTGGCTTCAAAATTGAAGTCAAAAGGTATGTTACTTTGAAGAAGAGATTTTGCTTTTGTTTCCACAGAAAACTAGAGGCTCTGGATTTATTCTGAGTTAAGAAAAATCCAGTTTGACCAAGGGAGACCACCTGAGAAATCTCCGGTAGGAACAGATGGCCCGATATCAGAGTTATTCATTCGGAACAGGTTCAAGACTGCTGCCTGAGATGATCAAGACTCACAGGATACTCCAGTCAGGACTTGATCATAACTCTAAATTTTCTTTAGGTCCCCATAAGATTATCAGCATCCAAAACCAGCTACAATTAGCCTGGGATACTATGCCCACATTCCCAAAAAAATGGACTATGGATATTTCCTAAAAGAGGGAGAAGTGGTGCAGGAGAATTGTCTGTATTCTGTCAATTATGTTTTAAATAAACGCTGATTGGCCAGGCAGGAGGTGTAGGCAGGAAAACCAGATAGGAAGTGGAAATGATGCAAGGAGAGCAGGAGAATTCTGGGGAGGAGGAAGTTGATTCCTCTCTCTCCTGCCCAGACCACCAAAGCAGCAGAATGTGATCTGCCAGCTGGAAAAGGTACAGAGCCATATGGCTAAAATAGATCAGAAAATGGGTTAATCAAGATGTGAGCATTAGCTAATAAGTAGCCTGACCTAATGGGCCAATCAGCTTTATAACTTATAGGAGTCCCCGTGTGATTTTTTGGGGGGCTAAACAGCTGTGGGAACCAGGTAGGACAGAAAACACAAACAAACAGGCCCCCTCATGTTACAGGTCCTCATTGTTGTCTAGGTTCTCTGGGATTGTGATTTGTAGGCTGATTTTCTTTGCTTTATATCTAAAAACCATTTATGAGTGAGTAGATATGATATTTGTCTTTCTGGGTCTGTGTTGCCTCACTCAATATGATGTTTTCTAGATCCATCCATCTGCCTGCAAATTTCAAGATGTTGTTATTTTTTTCTGCTGTGTAGTACTCCATTGTGTAAATGTACCACATTTTCCTTATCCATTCTTTGGTCAAGGGGCATTTAGGTTGTTTCCAGATTCTGGCTATGACAAACAAAACAAAACAACAACAAAAAGAAAGAAAAAAAGAGGGGGGAGGAAGAAAGGAAGGAAGGAAAGAAGGAAGGAAGGAAGGAAAAGAAAAGAAAGAACCAGTCTAGACAATAGGTAACACAAGTACTGGACAAAAGTTACAAGGGTTCTTTTGTAACTCATGTCTAGTATTTACTTGTGTTTTCTGCACTTTAACTGGTCATGAGTCTCTGTATTAACCACCATCCACTGCCCAAAGAAATTTCTCTGATGAGAATTGAGAGATATACTAATCCACTGAATATAGAGCACTTAGAAAGTAGTTTCATGCCATGTCCACATGTACAAACAATTATTAGGTAACCCCTATGGCCTCAAACTACCAAGATATACATTCTTGGCTAGATTTCCATTGTGGGCATGAGCTGCATTTTATGGCGCAGGCTTTAAATTTAACCAGAAAGTGGCTGGTTCCCTGAATTGCATCAGTGACCATATCTTTCCACACTGATCATCATTGTAGTTCTCAGTGTTCATGTCTAGGTGAGACTGTTGGTGGCTTTTCTACCCCCAGAAGTCTGCACAGCACTTTGCAGGATTGTGAAAACTTGTAAGCAGGGAGGAGGTTTCCAAAGCACTGTCAATTTGAATTTTCCATGTCCTGTGGTTAAACTGTGTGATCTCTTCAGCAATTGATCTCACCATCAGTTTATAGTGGGCTATTACTAGCAATCTGGCCAGGTTCTTATTTTTTTCTCCTCTGATTTGAAAAGATAAGAAGCTGGTGATTTGTGTCAAGCTCTGGGTTCCAAATAGTTTTTGGATCAAACAGTTTTATAGTCACTGTACAGAGAGATGCTGAGGAGAAGTGGATGCTTCCTAGATATTTGTACCTGTGAAATGGAAGATGGAATTCTGTACTCATGGGTCATGGGAGATTAAGACTTAGAGTTGTGGCTATGGGAACCTAGAAGCTTGAGTCCTAAAGTCATGTGTCTGAGCAGGCATAAACTGGTGACCCGTGTGACTCTGAGACTAAGTGACACAGGCCACATGTGTGCTGAAACCCATCCTTCTCTTCCACAGGGTGTGTGAGACATGACCTGGTCCCCTTGGTGCTTCAGCTGCTTTTCCTCATTCTCTTCTCTGGGGTCCTTGTGGCATTTCTTCTCCAAGGTCAGATGCTCTGAGTACTTTGGCTCTTAATACTGGTCTCTTGGCTGATGCATCCAGATCTAGGAGGGAGACAAGACCAAAATTGGAACCTGGTCCTTTTGTGACTTCTGAGCATATCTCAGAACTCCTGCAGCCTATACAGCAGGGGAAATGGAGGAGGAACAGGAGAGGGTCTTTGTTACATTTGTCCCTGTAATTTAGTCTTTTTGGGTGGTGAGATACTCCTCTCACTGTGGGGTATATGTATGTATGTGTGCTTATATGCACTTCACCTCCAGGGGTGAGCATACACATTGTGTGTGTATGTATGTGGTTGCCGAGGGATAGCCTCAGTGGTCATTCCTCAGATTCTGCCCACCTTGTTTTTTGAAAAATGGTTTCATTTGGCCCTAAGCTCATCAAATAAGCGAGTCTGACTGATCAGTGAACCCAAGGGATCCACCTGTTCTTGAATTTCCAGAACTGAATTACCAATGTACGCCAACATGCCTGGTTTTCAGAATGTGGGTTCTGGAAGATTGAACTTAGGTCCTTGTGTTTACAGGATAAGACGTTACCAACTAACCCATCTCTTCAGCCCATCATTCCTCAAGTGTTGTATAGCAGTAGTTAGCTCTCAGATACTATGTTCCTATATAGGCAGTGTAGACCATGACACATTGTAGGTATTTAATAGTTGTAGTTCCTTTTTTTGTCTTGACACAGTTCCAAAGGTTCCCTGCACCCAGGATCAGGAGAAGATCTACCAGGAGCTCATGCAGCTGAAGCCTAAAGTCGGTGTGTAATCAGAAGCTGGCTGTCCAAGTGTCTTAATGGGCATTCATATGGAGATACTTTGGTTGAGTTTGACCCTTTTAAGTCTTAAGGCTCTTCCTTGTCAATTGGAAACACAGAATAACACCAAAACTGGTTTTTTAGTGTTCACAAGAAAGTATATATAATAAGGATTCAATTATGCCAGTTTCCTGGAGTCTGTTCTGAGGTCTTAGCCCATGCTTCTCCCACTGAGAATGAGATGGGGCCAGGATTCCTGGACTCTTTTAGAATGAAGAAGAACTTGGGAAATTGAGAGGGTAGCATCTTCCCACAGTGATGCTTGAGGGTTCCTGACTCTGGAGGGCTGGAGGGCTGAGCTTACAGAATACAGACCACCAAGTGTGGGTTTATTCTAACTAGCCTCTTCCAACAGACTCCCTGTGCCGTCCCTGCTCCTGGGACTGGATGTTCTTCAGTGGAAATTGTTACTTTTTCTCCATAACTAAACGTAACTGGAGTGATTCCCTCAGTGCTTGCCAAGAAGTGGGGGCCCAACTAATCATCATTAAAAGTTATGAGGAGCAGGTATGCTTAATTATGAAGTAGAACATGCATCTTTTTATTGTTATGGATTTCATTCATCATATCTTGTCTCTTGGCTAAACCTACCCCTAACATCCCCCCTCAATTCTTTTCTTGCCCCAATAATTTTCCCTTCCAAATTCATGTACTTTATCTTTCTATAAGGCTATATACTAGGGCGTGGGTAGCCTCTCAGGAGCTACATGTCTGAAAAAAATTGACTTTCTTTCCTTAAACACCTTCAATTGTTAATAGTACTTCAGTCAAGGTTGGAACTTTATGAGCCCCCTCCTGTCTAGGCTGAAAATTTTGTTTACTTGACCTTGTGCAGCAACTATGAGTTCATGTGTGCAATTGCCCTGTCCATTTCACCTCAAATGTCCAAAATCTGAGGGGAGTGACGTGACACAGATGGGGGTGTGCATTTCACTACATAATAAGCAGTTGAAGGTGATAGCCGTACTGATTTTCAAGGGGGAATGAAAGAGAAGTGAGCTATGAATTGAGACATCACAAATGCCTTACACACACACACACACACACACACACACACACACACACGAACAAGTCTTGACCATGTGCGTAAGATTTGGGAGAAGACTTGGAAATGTAAAAAATGCCTAGTGATAGATTGGCTGGTCTATAATAACTTGCTTTCTAGAGGGAAAACTCGGCTGTGTGTCATTGACTAATTGCTAGAACGTGGCTCACACATTCATGACCAGGCATGAGTAAATCCAAGTGGGCCTGCTCAGAACTCACAAGCCAGAGAAACATACAGTGAAAAGAAGTGTATGCAACAAGAGGCCATCTGTGCACTTCTCTGTGCAAGTCATTTCCTTATAGGGCACAGGAACGGGAGGACTCAGAGCTCCTGAACACTTGTTAGAGAGCATGGTGTAGTTCCTTAGAAGGAATAACTGCAAATAGGACTTTCTATTGAGACTTTACAAGGACACTGGATGGAAAATTAAATGCTCAACTGTATCTCAACTACTTTTCTCCCTTTCCAGGACTTTCTACAGAAGATGTTTAAGATTAGAGGCAGTTTCTGGATTGGGTTGTCAGACATGAAACATGAAGGCTCATGGCAATGGGTGGATGGTTCACCTTTGTTGTCAAGGTAGATCAAAAAACAAGGGCAAAATTGGGGTGAATGGGCTGGTGTCTGAAATGCTAATATTCTCTCTTGGGGTTTTTATCCCCTAGACATAAAAAAAAAATGTCACTTACTGAGTGGAAAGGGGGAATTCATGCCCAAGTTCAGGGAAAATATGAAGACATCTAGTTTCCAGGAGCTTCAAAATTTGTTTGTAGGGGAGGGGAGGGACACATGTTCTCAGTGTGCATGGGTTTTGCAGCTTTAAAAAATACTGGACCTTATGGAAAAGTGAAGACCCTTCAGAGACTGACTGCACAGAACTGACAGATCATGGCTGGAATGAAGACAACTGCAAAAACAAGAAATTCTGGATCTGCAAGAAGTCCCCAGCATCCTGATCCAACAACTGATGCCCAGGTCCTCCCATCAGCCCTCACAGCTCCAGTCTCCCTGACAGATGACCGAACTTCATCCACACTTAGGCCAATTCCTTCTCCCTATTTTCAGGCAAGGAGCTCTTAGCAATAGCTCTGCTGTATTTTCTATCAGGTCTCTCATTCCCTGGGGGGCTGGTCCACCGCTGCCTTCCCTCAGATATATCCAGACCCTACTTGGCTTAGTGGTTACTGTTCTGGCCTTTGCTTACAATTTAATACATTGACTAAGTGTGGGATATCCTCAGGGACTATGTGGTTATCTTTAAAATGCTGTTTTCCTTGCTGAGATTAGATGGTCTGCATTGCTATGTTTAGCTCCACAGTACCAGAGGCTCTACACTATCCCATCCCTGCATCTTTTCCTTTCATTCATTTGTGTTACATCTCTTTCCCTGTACACATTTACTGGTGATTGTTCCCAATTACTTCAGCTCTGATATCAGCCTGAGAGCACCGGAGAATTAATCCACCAATCAAATGATGCTTTAGGGATCAACTTTCTCTTCCATTGGTGGTTGTGTGGCAGATGTGTCTCCCACATCTCTCTTCAAAGAAGGACATGTCGCCATCACAGAGATACTTACAAAAGTTTGTTGCCTCCACTATTCATAAATTTTGAATTATGGAATCCACACTAGTGGCCAACAATGGAGGAATAAAGAAAGATTTCTATCGCTGTGATAAACACCATAACCAAAGGTAACTTGTGGAGGTCAGGGTTTATTTCATCTTACAGTTTCAAAGGAAGTAAGGGCAAAACCTCACTCCCCATGGCTTTCTCACTCTGCTTTCTTATACATCTCAAGTATTCTTATACTGCCTGCCCAGGTATAGCACCACCCATAGCGTCCTTCCCATATCACCACCAACAAAGAAAATGTCCTATAGACTTGAATGTCGGCCAATCCTATGGAAGTATTTTCTCAATTAAGATTCTTTTTTCTCAAATTACCCTAGCTTGTGTCAAGTTGACATAAAACTGACTCAAACAACAGAATAGCATTTTTCTCCATCAAAAGTCAACATAATTTGAAGGAAAATGAATGCAACTAGCAATAATCACATTAAATTCCAACCAGTCTCAGAAAGATAAGTCCCATGTATGCTATCCCATTCATAGCTCCTATATAGTCACATAAATCATGTATGCATATGTTAAATAAAAGTGGAAATAAAGTTGTCCAGAGGAGCAAAGGGAGAAAGAGTGGGAGAGGGTAGGATGGGAGGAATGGGGTAGGTGGGATGCACTCAGCGTATGATATATACACTGGTAAGAAATTTTACACTTGTATTAAATTTATTTATTTGTATGTGGGTATGTGCATCACATTTGTACAGAGGTCAGAGAATAGCTTACTGGAGTCAGTCTCTCCCTCTACCATATGAGCCCCAGGGATTAAAAGCAGGTCATCAGGTTTAGCAATGAGTGCCTTTCTCCACTAAGTCATCTCATGAAAAGATTCCTCTATTTTGGGTGAGATTACCAATTCTGTGACATTTATCTGTAGATTTTGTAAACTTTTAGGTTTTGTTTTACTCATGCTAAAAGATTTCCTTGCATCTAAAGAGACTTTGAATTTTGACCTTTGAAAAGTATGAACTCTTGGTGGACATTAAATATATTTTGCATTACAAAATGACTATAAGATATTTGGGAAAACTGAGCTGGGATACTGTGACTTTAATACACAATTTGCTTCCCCCACAGTCACATGTTGTGGAATAATCTTTTCGTGCACTGTGAAGAAGGGACCTTCTGATTGGTTTAATAAAGAGCTGAATGATCAATAGCTAGGCAGGAAGAGGTTATGCAGAAGTTCTGGGAAGAGAGAAAAGAAGAGGAGATGAATCTGGGAATGGGGGAGATATCAGAGGAGATGAAGAGGAAGTAGGACATGAAGGAGCAGAGGTAAAAGTCATGAGTCAAAAGACAGAACATAGATTAATAGAAATGGGTTAATCAAGTTATAAAAGCTAGTTAGAAACAAGTCTAAGTTAAGGTTAAGATTTCATAATTAAAAAGACGTCTCAGTGCTGATATTTTTGTGAGCTGGCAGTCTAAAGGAATGTCTACCTATGGCATATGGTATCTGATGTGAGAACTCAAATATCCAAACAAAGGCTTGGGAAAGCTAAGAAAAGTTCTAGAAAATGAACTGGATATGGCTTTCTAGTCCTGTAGTCTCTCAGGTAGACCAGTGACCAGCCTAGAGGTACAGCTACCAGCCACTGCCTGGGTGCTTGAGTCATGCTCTGGCACCATGTTCTGGTATCATGTACTAAGCTGAGCCATGAGGCAGCTGCCACGCCAGTTTAAGATTTGCCTCATGTCATGTATGCTCCTGGGAAGAGTAAATAGATAAGATCTCCTGAGTAAGTTGAAAGCATAAGGGAGAGAAGGGTGAAGGGGAGGAGGGAGGAGAACATGAGGGAATGGGATGGTTGAGTTGGGGGAGGGACAGAAAGGAAGAACAAAAAAAGAGATTATCTTGATAGAGGGAGCCATTATGGAGTTAGCGAGAACACTGGTACTAGGTAAACTCCTAGAAACCCACAAGGATGACCCCAGCTAAGACTCCTAACATTCATGGAAAGGGTGCCTGAACTGGCCTTCCCCTGTAATCAGATTGGTAACCACCCTAATTGTCATCATAGAACCTTCATCCAGTAATTAACAGGAGCAGACGAAGAGATCCACAGCTAAGCTCCTGGAGTCCAGTCAAAAAGAGGGAAGAGGGATTATATGAGCAAAGGGATCAAGATCATGATGGAGAAACCCACAGAGACAGCTGGACCAAGATATTGGGAACTCACTGACTCTGGGCTGATAGCTAGGTAAACTGCATAGGACCTAACTAGGCCCTCTGAATATGGGTAATAGTTGTGTGGCTTGGGCAGTCTGTGGGATCAGAATTTACCTCCAGTTCATGAACTGGCTTTTAGGCACCTATTCCCTGTGGAGGGATACCTTACTCAGTCATGATACAGAGGGTGGGGCTTGTTCCTGCCTCAACTTGATATGCCAGACCTTGTTGACTCTCCATGGGAAGCCTTACCCTTTCTGAGGAGTGAATGCGGGGTTGGATGGGAGGATGGTGGAGGAAGTGGGAGAAGGGAGGGGGAATTGTGGTTAGTATGTAAAATGAAAAAATTTTTAAATAAAAAATTTTTAAAAAATTGTCGTGCACAGTCTGAGAATGCTGCAGGTACTCAGCAAAGACAGATCCAGATGGAAAAACCTCTGAATAGGTTACAGTATGTTTAAAAAATCTGCATAGGCTTAAAACAGAAAAGAAAATTGGTATAGACTGTCATAGAATAATTGTTTATAAATAATAAAATAAAGTCCTTAAAGAGAATAAAATAATATAAAAAGGATAAGCCACATAAAGATGGAAAATACACAGGGAGTCTGGATCCTGTATGGTGTTGTGTTGACTCTGAATTCTTTGATTGCTGATGAATTAACAACAGCTACTGAGAGACATGGAATTGTAAAAGGAACTGCTGAATTAAACCAGCCTAGATCCTTTAGGAATGCCTTCACTTTAAAGTGGAAGTCGGAAAAAATATTTTGTTGGGGGAAAGGTTTTGCTTTTGTTTCCACAGAAAACAAAAGGCTGTGAATTCATTGAAGGTTGACAGAGATCAGGTTTGGGAGACTCCCTGAAAACCCTGGCTACAGACATAAAGAAATAACCCTAGAAAGACTACAAGACAGGTGACATATATTTTCCCTGCTCAAACATAAAACAGAAATCATCTTTGAAGGGCAAGAATACACAAAAGAGGTGTAAAGTGTATAAGGCTTAGAGACACAAAAACTTAAATTATTTATATAAAAATATTTTAAGGTTTAAAGAATAGTTTTGAGTTGGTAATGCAAGTTAGGATAGAAAGTGAACTAGGTACAGAATTTTAGACATTTTATACCTTTTCTTTTTTTTAAATTTGGTAACAAGAAAAACTGAAGCTATAAATATCTAATCTTAAACTTCATCAACACCTGAGAAGGCGATAATAGTATCTGATCAAACAGGAAGTGCAGAACAAGCATATTCCAAAACTAAGAAATAACAGAGACATCTGGCTGCCTAGATAGGATGAATAGGATAGAAAATGGAGTATTTTCTCTGAATTTATCAAAGGCAAATGGTCTGAACATTATGAATGTGATTCTTAGCTGATAATTGTTTTTATTATATATAGTTTTACTGTATTAAAGTTAGAGTTAAAATCTTTTTTTATTTAGACAAAAGGGGGAAATGTTGTGGAATAACCTTTTTGTACACTGTGAAGATGTGCCCTATAATTGGATTAATAAAGAGCTGAATGGCCAATAGCTAAGCAAGAAGAGGTTAGATGGGATTTCCAGAAAGAGAGATAAGAAGAGGAGATGAATCTGAGTGTGGGAGATGCCAAAGGAGATGGAGAGGAAGCAGGACATACAGGTGGTGAGGCAAATTTCATGAACTATATAAAAGCATGTAGATTAAAAGAAACGGGATAATTTAAGTTATAAAACCTAGTTAGAAACAAGCCTAAGCTAAGGCTATGCTTTCATAATTAATAAAAAGTCTCCATCTCCATCTCATTATTGGGATCTGGTTGACAAAAAAGGCTT